ATAATGGAAATAAAATTGGCTGGTGTCACATCAGTAATATATCTCGTTGAGAGTGCTTTGCCTGACGCACGAAACTTTGTAGGACCCCAATTTCCGACTTGAACCAAGAAGTTATGCATACACCGATAGCAATCAACCATAAGTGTGTGGAACGCAGAGATCCAGCTCTCGGTTGACTAGGGTCCTGCTTAATGAAGTATATTGAAAACTGGTGATATCTAGAACTCAATCTAGATAATATGGGCAGTGTTGCCCACGCCACCATTTCGGAGCCAATTTCGGCGCATTGTGTGAATGAGTGGTGTGATAAGATTTGCGTGAGAAGGGCAGGAGAAACTATCCCAACTGCTTTGTCCACCTGGACAAACGGACTGTTCGTGAACATGGCGTTGAGTACGCTATGCTGGTAAATCCATTCGAACAGGTGAGTTTTATTGTTTGCTTCTATAGAAGGAAGAACAAGGTGTCTTTGCAGAGATTCTAGCATTAATCTGTTAAAAAATGGGCAAGGCTGGCTACGAGGTGTTTAGCGCTGGGATATTAAACCCGACACACGCATACGTCTAGCACTGGTCAGGCTGGCCGAAAAGGAGGGTACTGGGTAATGGACTCCTGTCAGCTCACGCATGTCGATCATCGCAAAATGTCCAATCTGAATCGTGTAGCCTCACGAGGGATGTTGGTGCTAGAGGATAAAGTAGGTGGCCTAGTTAGGGCACCGAGTAGGCCCGATCCTTTGTGCTGAATCTCATTATTTCATAGGCGCGACAAGGCTGTTAGCACGTGGGGTAAGGCTGAGCTCTTGTCATCCAAACTCAATTTGGTTAATCAGGGTCTTGGGATTGTAGATCATCATTATATTTTAGTAATAGTTATGCAGGTGTCCGGGATATACTGCCACAGTAAGATTATAGTGAGATAGCCTTGGGACAGCTAGCCGTAGTGTTACTAATGGAAATTTGTGATTCTTCCTATGACCAGTAGAAATCCTGGAAAGAACAGATCTTACCAGGTGCATCATCTAAGATGGAAGATATCTCCGTGTGTTTACTCCTTGTCGGTCAGAAGTGGGAAATCAGGGGTCTGTCAGTAAGTACTGGCGATCAAAAGCAGCTTGGTATATATCGCGCCTCTCGGCAGGAAGAAAGGAAACGAAACAATGAGCCAGTCATCTGAAAGAATTTTACTTAATTATTCGCTGTACTATTTACTATCTTATGTTGTAGCGGTACATGTGTGCCCCGATAACATGCACTTCTCATTCTGAGCTTACCAAGTAAGTAGCTTACCTTCCTCCTCATCACCGATACCCAAGACTATTCATTCTCCCCCATCTCTACTATGTCGAACAAGAAGACAACTTAGAAAAGTCTATATATATCTACATCTAGTATCTATCATCTTGATGGAAATTTGTGTACGGAGTGGGGCGCATTTTTGGTGACACTTAATTTGTACCATCAGCAGACATGGCATGCGATCAGCCACTGTCAAAAATAGAAGGGTTAACATGGATATATACTTACTGGTGCTTAGAATGTATGGTGTCCAGACGAGCCAGGCACTGTTACCTACGGAAATTTTAAAGATTTAGTATCTGGGCATAAGCTGTGACGCTTGATAATATTCAAGGACAATTACTACGAACCCGTTTATATATTGCGGATCCTCTCCCATATATTTATGAGCCACCTACTACTAAGCCTACCGGACATACCGTAATTCACCACTCATCTAGTACATGGTTGCGGTATAATATGAGTATGAGACAGAAATGATAAGGATGGCAACAACACACCCAACATCATAACAATCGAGAGCTACTGTCTAGCAAATTACTCAGCTTGCATCGTCTCAGACTCATATGAGATGACCAGAAGACACACACTATGCAGACTTAGTATGTCCGATAGGGTATGAATTATTTCCATCGAATCAACAACCAGTGGGACTCCAGAATTTTAATCATTATCAGACAAATGCAGTGCGCCTTGCTTTACACAACCAATTCTGATCTAAGCAGTAGGTAAAGTAAGTTGGAAGTGGTTTCCTTCCATGTCTATCTGAACCGGATTGGGTCGCGTATATGGAATTGGCCAATCAACCCCGACCATTGGACGCGTAGGAAAACGGAAGAGGACTAATCAAACTACACAGGTAACATGTGATCCTGTAGGGTCATGATCGAGTATTTGCATATACGCCATGTGCTCAACGGTGCTGAATCTGTTGGCCATTGGATAAATATTAAATTGGGGTTTAAACCAAGAAGTGATACTTCGTGGCGTGATTTCATGCATATACGCATAGATAAGACGAAAGTCAGGGTGGCCAAGCTTCATCCACATGCCGGATTTGGAAATGGACAGGAAGAATCGGAGATCGAGGCGGATCCTACGGGATCAAGCTTATCGGAGATTTTTGGCTTGCATTTCCTGCCACGAGGGACCTGCAGACGATGCATCTTAGCGTGCATACTTCGATCGATTATACTTTTGTATAGCGATCAACTACACGTTGACTTTCTTTTTGAGTTGAGTTGTACCATGATATCCTATTAACTTTGTGTGTATCTTTCTGCTACTTGTGGATAATAATTGGCGGAGGGGCATGCCGTCCCTTATTTTTCCCCGCAAACCCCTCGTGTCGGATCCCGGCGTAAAATGAGACTTGGCTTGGCTTTAGTCGGAGTTTATTTCTTGCCTGGGATTATTTTGTGTCACCCAGATCTATTGCAAACCAAATGATTCGATTGGAAACCAAGAATACGAGTCAGACACTATTGCACGCAAGCAAATGACACCAAACCGGTTCCTGCAGTCGGTGGGGGGGGCGCACTATGCTGAGTATGCTCACCACCGCCGGCCCCGCCGCCAGCATAAAAATCTAACGATGGCCGTCCCGCTACTAATGCGCTCCGGTCCGGAACGTCCCTGATTTTCCTGCTGCCCTCCAGTGATTGATTGTCCGTCTCCTCCCTCTCTCCCTCCTATTTCCTCTTCACCTCCTCTCTCCCTCCTCTCCCCCTTTCACCCTTTCCTCCCTCCCCCGGGATTGCCTGCAATTGCTCGCCAGCATGGCTTCCCCCAAGGTTCCGGATGCCATTGCCCCGGCAGAGCAGCCGCCATCGCCCTCCACCGATCGCCAGGATTCCATGGCTTCCGCAGCCAAGATCATTCAGAATGCCAAAGCGGCCACGGACAAGGAGCAGAAGATGACCCTGCTCCAGGGCGTCAAGCTCTATCCCAAGGCCGTTGCTTGGAGTATCCTTATCTCCACCTGCATCGTCATGGAAGGCTACGATATCAGTCTTGTCAACAACTTCTACGCTTTCCCTCAATTCAACCGAAAATACGGCGAGTTGTCGGCGGATGGAACATATCAGGTGCCAGCACGGGTATTTGACTCCCTCCCCTCTTGTTTTCCTGGGACATCCATGCAATTGCACCATCATCCCGCACGCCATGCAGTGCTCGCGTGACACAATTGGCTAACAGAACGTCTCCTATGCAGTGGCAATCGGGTTTGAGTAACGGTGCGTACGTCGGAGAAATTATCGGCCTCTTCATCAATGGCTGGGCCTCGGAACGCTTCGGATATCGTTATACTATCATGGCTTGTCTCGTTTTGATCACGGCGTGGACTGCCATCTTCTTCACCGCCCCGAACGTCCAGGCGCTGCTGGCTGCGGAAATTCTGGCCGGTATTCCCTGGGGAGTGTTTCAGACATTGACCGTCACTTATGCCTCGGAGGTGTGTCCGGTGGCGCTGCGTGGATACCTCACGACCTACGTCAATTTCTGCTGGGGATTGGGACAATTGATCGGTATCGGTGTGATCAAGGGTATGATCAATCGGGATGACCAATGGGCGTACCGGATCCCATATGGACTGCAGTGGATGTGGCCATTGCCCCTCTTCATCGGGATTTCTCTCGCACCAGAATCCCCATGGTGGTTGGTCCGGAAGGGCAAGATCCAACAAGCCAAGAAAGCCCTGCTGCGATTGACGAGCGTGAACCGAGAGACCAACTTCGACGCCGACGAGACCGTCTCGATGATGGTTCATACCACATCCCTGGAGAACAAGATCACCACCGGGGCCAGCTATCTGGACTGCTTCAAAGGCACCGACCTGCGCCGGACCGAGATCGTCTGCATGGTGTGGGCCATTCAGAACCTGAGCGGCAACTCTTTCTCCAACTACTCGACCTACTTTCTTGAACAGGCAGGCCTGAGCACCGACAATGCCTATGCATTCGCCATGGGCCAGTACGGAATCAACATGGTCGGCGTCTTCGGAGCCTGGTTCCTCATGTCCATCGGCCTGGGCCGGAGAACACTCTACCTGTACGGCCTCTGCGGGCTGTGCGTCATGTTGCTTGTCATGGGATTCCTTGGCCTAGTACCCGAGGAGCACAAAACCCAGGCCGCCCTGGCCACCGGCTCCATGATGATCGTATGGGCGCTCTTCTACCAGTTGACCGTCGGCACGGTCGCCTACTCCCTTGTTGCCGAGCTCTCCACCCGCCGCCTTCAAATCAAGACGGTCGTGCTCGGCCGCAACCTGTACAACATCGTCGCCATCGTCTGCGGTGTCCTGACCCCGTACATGCTGAACCCCGGCGCATGGGACTGGGGCAACTATGCCGGCTTCTTCTGGGGCGGCATCTGCTTCCTTTGCATCGTGTACACGTTCTTCCGGGTTCCGGAGCCCAACGGACGGTCGTTCGCCGAACTCGACCTCCTCTTCGAGCGGGGAGTCAGTGCGCGCAAGTTCGCCCAGACCCAGGTCGATGTGTTTGACGAGACCATGGAGCATGGGTCGGTCGATCACTATCAGACGGAGAAGACAGTGGCGGCCGATGTGGCGACCGTTGGGAAGGAGAATTCGAATTCGAATTCGAATCCGACTTCAACTTCACCGCAATGATGAATGACGCTCCTTTTGTAATAACAATTAATATAATAATGTACATAGAGACAGCTAATAATGAACATAGACGATTAATGATTCATTCTCATGCTTACGAGTCGTTAGGTGGGCTTGATGTTACTACTTTGACAATTGACAGGTTCCTCATGACATCTCCGAGACCAACCCATTATACAGTCCAATCCACTTACTCATTCGACCACTCCGGCTTCTTCTTCTCCGCAAACGCCGTCATGCCTATCGCCGTCAGCATCAACCACTTTCCAAAGGAAAGAAAGAAGCAGACTCACCAATCTTCTGATCCCTACTCCCAAACAATCCATGAAACAGTCTCCTCTCAAACTCCACTCCCTCCCTCAACCCAACTTCATACCCCTTATTTACCACCTCCTTACCGGCCACCACAGCAACCCTCGAATAGCCCGCAATCGTCTCCGCCGTCTCAACCGCAACATTCACCACCTCATCCTTACCTCCCTCCACCACTCTCGCCGCAACCCCCCACTCTCCCGCCTCCTTTCCACTGAAGTTCTTCCCCGTCAGAATCAACTCCATCGCCTTACTCTTCCCGACGGCCTTCGTGAGCCGCTGCGATCCACCCGCACCGGGAATAACCCCCAACTTGATCTCAGGCTGTCCGAAAGTCGCGGTGGACGTGCAGTAGATGATATCGCACATGAGGGCGAGTTCGCATCCGCCGCCCAGGGCGTAGCCGGAGACGGCGGCGATGACGGGCTTGCGGATTGCGTTGGCGAGGTGCGACCAGGGGGCGATGAAGTTGTTGCTGTATGCGGAGGAGAACGTTAGGGGGGCCATTTCTTTGATGTCGGCGCCGGCTATTTATCAGAACATTTGGTTGTTAGTGGTGTGTGTTGGTTGTGTTATTGGGAGGGCAGTGGCGCACCTGCGAAGGCTTTCTCGCTGCCGGTGATGACAATCGCGCCGATGTCTTTGTCCGTGTCGTAAGTGGTTAGGGCATCGTTGAGTTCTTCGAAGAGTGGGCTGGAGAGCGCGTTGAGGGCTTTGGGGCGGTTGAGGGTGACTGTTGCATTGCGATTGAGGTTGTGGTTAGTATTGGATTGGTCACATGCTTGTTGCTATGCTATTGTTTGAAGGGGACTGTGGAAGGGGCATACTCAGTCCTACGCCCGGCTTGGGAGTCGAGGTGAGGATGTGCTCATATGCCGAGGTTGCGGTTGCGGAGAACGGACGGCCGCGGGCAAGAAAGGAAGTCAGAGGGATGGCAGTGCGGGAGGAGACGAGACGGGAGCACTGGCGGGAGAACATATTGAGAGTAATTACTGATTATCTAGTATATGAGAGGAGAGAAATGTGTGAAGAGATCAATTGCAGATGTGGTCGAGAGAAACAGTCGGGGAAAGGGAAGGGGGATATGATGATGATAGTAGCAAGCTCCCCGCAAATCCCGCCGAGTTAACCCCGGCAATAGCCGTGACAGCTTTTGCACGTGATAGCTATTGCTGAGTCAGCGGCCCCTGAGGCGCAGTCATCATGACAGTGGCTGGTGTCACCCAAAACGGGCTTAGCGGGAGCAGCCCGGCAGTGGCCAGTTTTCCCGCGAGCAGCTGCTGGCTGGCTGGGCTGTCCTTCACCTTCATCAGCTGAAGCACTTTCGCATTCCTAATCCATTGCTTTCTGTCCGTGCTCGGTGCTGTCTTTGTGCCCTATGCGCTGAGTCTACTGGGTGCCTTCTTGTCCGCTTTTTCGTCTCCTCTCTCTCTCTCTCTCCACTCTCCTCTCTTCTTCCTGCTACGCGATAGATAGCCACATCCACATTTCCACCATGGACGTTCCTGAGCCTGAGCAGACGCCTTTCACGGCCGTGACGGCGCAAACCTCGAAGCTGGCTAGGGTATGTACATACACTTTCTCTGATCTGTTTCTTGCAATACCTGTCGCAATCCTGCACCCAGCGCAGACGACATACCCATGCGCTATCCCAACAAACAACTCCTACCCACGGACCATGACATGACATGATAAGCTAACTACTACCTCACACAGCAATACCAAACCTACCTCGACGCCTCCACCCCATTCACAGCCTACCGCTGGACCGGCACCGTCGTCCTACTCCTCATCTTCTTCCTGAGAATCGTCCTCGCCCAGGGATGGTACATCGTGGCCTACACCCTCGGCATCTACCTGCTCAACCTCTTCCTCCTCTTCCTGCAACCCAAGTTCGACCCGTCCCTGACGCAGGATGAGGGTCTGGAAGACGGCGACGCCGCCGCACCCAGCCTGCCCATGAAGCAAGACGACGAGTTCCGTCCTTTCATCCGCCGTCTCCCCGAATTCAAGTTCTGGCACTCGGCCACTCGCGCCATTGCTATCGGCTTCGTGTGCTCGTGGTTCGCCGTCTTTGATATCCCGGTGTTCTGGCCTGTCTTGGTGGTTTACTGGATTATTCTGTTTGTGTTGACCAGTGAGTCTACCAAAATCTGCTTATCTTTGCTGGGAGGCGAATTTGGTGGAAGGCTAACCCGAATCAATCTACTAGTGCGCCGCCAGATCCAGCACATGATCAAGTACCGCTATGTGCCGTTCTCGTTCGGTAAGACGCGGTACGGTCGGTCATAAAAGCGACACGAACACAAAAAGAAAAATAGATATATCTTTTCGTCTGCCTGGATAAATGAGTCACGGCAGATTGCAATGAGATGTGATGAGACGAGACGATGATGTGGTGTGATTTGATGATGAAGTTCGTCATGTCATGCTATGCGATGCTTGGCTTTGTGCTCTTTCTCTGATGGCTTACCCTAGTACGTCTATATATTATTGATGAATTAGATGTGACCGTCCGGGATACTTCTCCCCTTCCTGTCTATGCCTTACCCCATGTACTCTCCTTCATGCCAGAACAGGCTGTTGGTAGACACATGAGGACAATGGAACAAGACAAGCACAATAACTACCTTACAACCCCTTTAATTCTCGCTGTTTCCTTCTCTTCTCTTCATGATGATCTTTTGAGTGTGACCTCGTGTGGCCTTGTGTGTGCATGTGTCTGTGTGTGAACTGACTTTATGAAACTTTACTACCGGGATGTTATACTAGTATCTTCCTACTATTCAATGTGTACAGATTTAAGTCAATGCCGTTTATGCTTATTGTTCTTCTCGCTTCTTTTACTCCTGCGTCTGCCTCTACATCCCTGTGCTATTAGAACTTAAGCTTATCTTTACTGTATTGTGTGTAACTTACTGGTATTGTGGCTAACGAATAGATCAAAGTGTTGCTAATCTGATAGTTAGTCCAGTTTACAGGATCCCGGGATAAGTATTCTTCAAATAGTCATCGACTCCCAGTACTAGTGGTAAGTAGTAATGGGTCAGGCTTGATTGGTCTAGTAGTGGGTACTACTTATATAGCAGAAAGAAAGCCTGAGGTTCTTCTCTACTCCTTCATGTTGTAGAAAAACCACATTATATAGAGTCACATGTGTGATAAGAAGTAAGTAGTAGTTACTTGTGGCATACAGGTAAAGTTCATTGTTGTCTATTCTAGACTTTTGACTATGTGCATAGAGTAAAACATCAAGGTCATCGATGGAAGGAATAGGAGAATGTAGGAAAGAAACGTTCACATGCCATCAAGGCAATAAGTATCAATCATCATCGGTATGTAGGAAACATAGCAACATTATTATTCAAGGGGAAAAGCAAAATCAGATCTCAAGATGCTCTACGCTGTTCCTCTTCGGGGTGATGTTGTCCAATGACAGAGCGGACATGGCGCGACTAGGTGCGGGACGATCGAGTTCTTGCGTCTTGGTGCAGATCCAGGTGGAGGCGTACATGTTTACACTGTTTTCCGTTAGTATAGTTATTCGTATGGTATAGATACCAATATGATGATTATGCTCACCGGTCAATGCAAGTGCCCGGGAATCTGGCACCAACGCGGCGGGCAGAGAAGCCATTCTGCTCAAAATGCTGGATATACCATGGCTCGATGCTCGCGGAACGGAGTAGTATCCGGCCACCCATCTTCAGGGCGTGATTCAGTTTCTGTGCTTGGATGGAGGCTTCTTCGCCTTCGGGGTCGAACCAGTCCATGGAGTCCATGACCTATATGATTTGTCAGTTTGAGTGTATTGCGAGGGTTGGAGTAGAGACATACCACAGCTATAGTCAGGCTGCGTGGCTTGATCCGCTTGATCACTTCGTTGATTTCGTCTGTGTGGATGCGGAGACCGTCGAAAGCGCCGGGTGAGGAGAGCTTCACGTGGGCCTTGGGGGAGAGGTATGCAGGATGACATCTGCCATTCATTAGTTAGGGAACGTATGCTTCAGTGGCATGATGAGCTTACCTCCGCGAGAACTGTCCCTGCAAGCAGAGGAAGTAAAAGTAGTTGTCGTTGCTGATCAGAGTGTCCTGGACCACCGGATCCAAGGTGTCTACCACGTACTCCCAGATCGACTTGCCACTGACATCCTTCGCCTGCTTCATGTCCTTGTTTAAGCCGTTTCTCTTGAAGTAGTCATCGATGATCATGTTACGCTGGTTGCGAGGCACGCCTGCGGCCTTCCATGCGAACCATTCTGTTCCCACCACTGCCCAGTGAAGAGGCTTGCTCATCAGGACGGAACGGATTCGGGGCCAGATCTCGCGCTGTTCTGCCAGGGTCTGGGCTTCACAGAGCTGTCGTACCTGGCTTTCCAGGCCGAAGACCTTGAAGAGGTAGCGGACCATCTTGATAGCGTGGCGCGATCCACCCGTCTCGTAGAGTCCCTTACCAGAAGAGGAAGTGAAGATATGGGTATGCTCCAGCCAGTACTGGAAGGCTTGACTAGACAAGTGTGGGCTCAGTCGGGAGATGAGTAGGTTGCGGAACTCGGGATGCTTTCCTTCACCGAAGATCTTCCACACATCGCGGTGGCCCAGAGCCATGAAGCTAGCCACCTTGAGTTCCAGAAGGTGGTTCTGATTTGGGTTCAAGTCAACCGCATGGACACGACGCGGGCTCTTCTGAAGGTAGTCGAGGATGTTGTCACCGGCGCTGGTGATGGCCAGAATGACATCGTCTCGCTTGATGTCCAGCAGGCGGTGGTCAACGCGGGGGTCTTCCCAGTTGAAAGCATAGATATACTCGTTTCCGAACTGAGTGTGCTTTGGGAGGAGGTCATTGTAGAAGATACGGTGGTGGTGATTTTGGTAAAAGGACGAGGGGAGAGGCAGGTTCGCGCTCAGATTGATCACAGCCGACTCATAAGCCTTGGATCTGATTTCCTGAGTGCTGTTCACAACAGCAGTCTCCATCTCCTTGCGATGGTTGGCGGGAGAGAGGTACGGTGACTCTGTGAACGAAGCATTCAACTTCTCTATGGCCTCGCGACCTGAGTGTGTGGTCGAATCTTTCTGGCAACCGACAAAGATGTAGTATGGGATACCACCCAAAAGGTAGTTTCTCTCGCTGGCAGAGATTACGGTTCCGAATCGGTACTCCAGGTAGTCACGGCGGGCTGCCTCCAAGCTGACCCGGTCCACGTCGAACCAGGCACGCCAGAAGACACGACCGAGCCAGTTCACATGTCGATTGAAGGCACCACCAGTGTAGTTACGCGATGAGACATCAACAATGCTTTGGACTATCGGAGGTCAGAGGGATTGCGTCGACAGATGCTACCAGGCTTACCATAAAAGTCACACACTCCGAGAACGCCAGTAGGCCTCAAGAGTGCAGGTAGCGCGTCGATGACACTGTAGTAGTCTGCATCGTATGAGCACCACTCTTTCACAGTCACTAAGCGCACCAACCTGGAATCATAGACAAGCTATAGCTCATTGTTGCCAAGTCGGCACCGGCGCTGCTCTCGTTGCGGGGATCGATCTTGTCATCCTCCGGCAAACGGAAGGAGCGAGCATCCTGGCAGACAACGTGGATGTTCTTCCATCCCAGCCTCTCGAAGCGCTGGCGGGCCACCTCACAGAGCGAGGGTGATAGATCGACCAGATAAACGCGGGAGAAGAAGTCCTTGACGGGTAGGAATGCAGACATGGCTTCAATGTTGTATCTAATAGTGGTTAGGGGTCGGTTGGATGTTGTGTCCTCGAGAGTACTCACCCAGTGCCTCCGCCAATCTACATTGTTAGTCAGTACTCATCACTCGGTAAGACTGCATAGGTGATACTTACATCAACCCAGACAGCCTTGCCAGACTGAAGCTGATTGTTCTCGACCTTGTGCTTCAGTTGGGCTGCAACCAGGCCCAGCATATCCTCTCGACCGCGCAACAAACGCTTGCGAGTAGCATCATAGACGCCAGCCTATGTCCAGTATTGTCAGCCAATGGAACTAGGCAGTCAACTGGCAGTTGTCTGGCATGCCTGCGTCTTGTAGAAGCTCTCGAGAGCATCCTGTTGGCCATTTCCGTGCTTCTCGTGGGGTTTGAGGAATGTCGCGTATGCGAACTTGAGATAGGTGAAGACACCGCTATTGTAGTCAATTTTGCGCTTCTGCGACGACAACATCATGACCACTGCGACGAACGCGCAGACCGCGAACGCAGTTCCGGCAATGTAAACATGTAGCCAGTTCAATTGGCCCCAAAAGGGACCGGTTGTACTGCTGGAAGACATGAGAGCGCAAAGGGGTGTAACGGGATAGAGTTGAAGCCTCCTGTCGTAGGAAGGACAGATGAGAGGCAGATCTCCTGCCTCGAGATTGCGAGAACGGGCGGCTTCTTGAATCAATTGCTCTGCAGCACCGACAGAGCAATGCGGGAGAAGTTGGCCACATCTTTGGGATGCACGCCCCACTTGCGACAGCCCCTCCTGGTCCGAGTTGAATTTAAAAAGACATGAGCGCAGCGCGATGCCCTATCAGGGGGACACATGGTCCGGGGATGATAAGCTGCATTGGCTGTCCGTGGTAAAAGAGTGAATGGCTCGCGGGAAGAGGTGGAGGAAGGATCTCCGGGTGATTCTTGCGGACCAGCTGGCACCGAATTGCAGTAGGAGGCACTCGTTAGCAGAAATTGAAGAGGAGAGTTGCAGAGCTTGTATGGATGCATCTGCGTATAGTTCGGGTAGACCAATCAAGGGTGCATGTGCCCGCACGCCGTGGGCTCCCGGAGCCACTCGCCGCCAATGAATCCCGCACGCCAGCCCCAAGCACCCTGCTCTTCCAACTTATTGGTACAGGCCCCGATCAACGGTCAACACCCATCCATCGTCTTGCCAATAATAGCAGTCATACCAAGAGGTTGTATCGGGCAGATCCTCGATGCAGACGCACTGCCGTCGATTCCTCCCTCCCTTTATTCCTCCGTCCCTCCTTTTCGTCGCTGGTCAGGTACTAGGGCGATCCCGGATCCTGGGAGAGGCACATGTCTGATAAACTTCGTACACCCACGGGCAGTTAGTGAACTCCAGTATAGCATGAAAGCATAAATTTTCCAAAACTACCCGGCCTGACAAAGGAGTTACAGGCTGGTCTGCGACTCTCACCCGGTCCATGCACGTACGCATGCCCCCTCGCCGCCACCTGAAGTCTCCGTACATGTTACCCCTCCTTGCAACCGCGATAGCCGAGTGCTTTATGTCTTTCAGGTTAGACATGTAGACTAACCCCTGTAGTATCGGATTAGTTGACCCAGTTCGTCGCTCGCGCTGAGGATGTTCGGACTTTATGTCCTCCAGGATTTACTCGAGTCGTAGCAGAGTGAGATTCATGAATGGACATGTGTTCAACCTTGGACTCGTCGTTCTTT